CCCATACACACACACGAATACTCACACACAAACATGCAATAACAATAACAACATCACCACCACCACCACCCAACAACAACTGACGACTCCTCACCCTGAGCGATGGGCCTGACGTTGATCTTGCGGACCTGTTTGAAGCTGAGCTTGGGCAGGGCGCCGCTGACCCTCCACACGGTGACGGTGTGCTGATGGACCACACACAGGTGGCAGGCCGCGCCGCTCTCCGCGGACAGGCACCGGCTCCAGTGGACGCTCGTCACTTGTCTGTGTGTGAGTGGAAAGAGGGGAGGGGGGGGGGTTACACAAAAATCATTATTAACTGGTGATTTAGGAGGATAGTATGTTAGTTTTAGTAAGAGTGCGGGTACGGAATAACATTATTAACTGGTGATTTAGGAGGATGGTACGTTAGTTTTAGTAAGAGTTTTACGGCACTTGCAACACAATAAGGTCATAGAAGTGCCGAAGATTAGAGGTGTTACAAGAGAGTAACAAACACAAAAAAGAAGGAGGGGAGATAAGGACGATAGATGTTTGATAGGAAAGAAGGAGGAGAGATAAGGACGATAGGTGTTTGATAGGAAAGAAGGAGGGGAGATAAGGACGATAGATGTTTGATAGGAAAGAAGGAGGGGAGATAAGGACGATAGGTGTTTGATAGGAAAGAAGAAGCAAACCACACCGGAACCGCTTACCACGATCAATGCTACGGAAGAAAAGTACGGCCTCCTTTTTATGAATACCAAAGGATCTTCTTTTAAAAAAAAACCAGAATTCACATTAATTGAAAAACAAAAGTTGATACTTTGTAGTGTTCCGAAATCAAGGTTATCCTAAATCCTGAAGATGTTTGGAGCCAATTAGGTAACCACCGTAAGAAATCACATCATCATCATCATCATCATCATCATCATCATCATCATCATCATCATCATCATTACCATCCAGTGCCAGATCTACGACAGACATCGGCGATCATGGTTTTCCATTCCTTCCTTTTCTCGGATGCTCTAAAAAAAGCCATGTTTCCCTGATCTTTCCAAGTTACCCATTTGTTTAGGTTTCCCAAGTATGTTGTTCTGGGCCTACCCCTGCCTCGCTTGCCCTCAATTTTGCCAGTGAGAGCTAGATGTCCAAGACCCTTATGTCTATTCAGGTGTCCCAAAAACTGCATTTGTCGTTAGAAAGTAATTAACCGAGTTCGGAGTCGATTCCTCCGATTCCCAGCTTTCAATAATCGGGAACCTAGCCGCCCGGCACTATCGCTCACTCCACCCACAGCCAAGTTTTACAAGCATTCATTATTCAACGACATTCTAATTAATGTCAGCTTTTCTCAACGTTATTTGCTCTTCTTTCAACTTAAATTACGACATTAGAAAGGGGGAAAAAGAAAGTAAAAAAACACAAAAACTAAAACTGAAACAAAACAACGTATTTGCTCTTCTTTCAACTTAAAATACGACATTAGAAAGGAAAAACGGATACTAAAAATTAACTTCTCGAAAAACTCAAACAAGCAGAAATAAAAACAAAACAAAATAACACAGAGCTTTCTTTGAAGGAAAGTTGGGATGACGTTCTTAATGGTGTAGAAGAAAGATGGGGTTTTTTTTTTTCATTTTCTCTCTCTGTCTCTCCCTTTCTCTCTGTCTTTCTCTGTCTCTTCCTTTCTCTCTGTCTCTGTCTCTCTCTGTCTCTGTCTCTCTCTCACTC